CGTGCAGAGTTCTCGCGCCCCCCCCCCCCGCGCCCGGGTTCCCTGGGCCAGGGTGGCTTTTTAATCTTATTTTTCTTCCCGAGTTTGCTTTTTTATAAACCCCACTGCGGATTTTGTTTTGAAACTAGACATATTATATAGTTTACCTGGACATAGTTCCGTGTTCGTGTGTGGGGTGTTTTAAAGAGCTGTTTGTCAACATTGTGGGTGCAAAAAGTTTGGGCACCTTTGTGCTTTATTTAAATTTTATTTTAAAAAGGAAACTTGTGTGTTCATTGGCAGCCTTAGGAATATTGCTTTTTTTTTTTTAAAAGGCTACCGAGGAGTATTGTGGATGCTGAGGGTGGTAACCTTTGGGGTTATTTTCAAGCTTTGTGAAACTTTTGGGTTGAGACGAGGATGTCTGGAAACATTGTTAAAGTGCATTGAGCACATTTAAATCCCACCCGAGGAGCTTCTCTCTCCTCCTCCTCCTCTTTTATCCTCACAACAACTCTGCAAGGTAGATAAGGCTGAGAGTGAGTGGTCCAAGGTCACCCGGTAAGGCTCACAACATTTTCCCTCCGCTTAGACCACGACAACTACACTGTTTAGAAATCTCGCAGATCCTCCATGCTAAGCAGTTAATACTCTTTTGCTTTTTGTGGCTTTTAAATTGTGTGCTCCTACTGAGTGGAGGCCAACACTTATTTCCCCATTCCCTGCCTCTAAACACCTGAAGGAGTAAATCTTTGGTACCAAGGCTTGTTTGCTTCTCCTGTGCCCATGAAGCGCATGTGAACTGAATGGGTATCAAAGTGAGGGGTTTTAGACATGGGGACCTTCCGCCTGGCACAACGCCCATCTTCAGCACCCACTTGGGGAACAGGTGCAGGGGTTTTGTCCTGTTCTGTCCTTGGTCCTGTTGATGACACGTTCCACAAACATGAGGTCACACCCCTGCGCTCCGCATACCAGCCTGTTGCTTTTTCAGTGCTCGCCACCACTAATGTGGACTGGAGTCCTTGCGACACCCATTGAAATCGGGGGTTTTGGTGTGTTTTTTTTAAGTCCCTTTCTTTTAACCCTGTCATTAAAGACTCCATTAAAGGAGGGGCCCATCTGATTGACCTTCTGTTCATCCTCTAAGATTAAAAAGTGGTTTTGTGTGCCTGGCGTCCTCTTGAATGACGCAGGTCAGCCAGCTCTCCAGTTTCCTTCTGGTTTTTACATGCAGGATTTAGCCAGGTGTCAAAATCGGAACGGGGTTATCTGTTCGGTGTAGTTCAGGGTTGTGTGGTTTCCCTGCAGGGCTGGCATTTGTCGGCAGCTAGCAACCTGTGGCGAGGGAGGGACGCCCACATCCTTTGGTAGCTTGGGTCTCCCACGCTGCTGTCTGCAAAAAAACAAGTTCCACCTTCTCCATCACAAACACGACAGTATTTTTACCTATAACTCCTTGGAAGTGTCCCTTTATGTTTTCCGAAGACCAGTGAACAATGGAACGTACAGCTGTGTAGAACTGATCTTTTGCTTCCTGGGCAACACGACCTTGGCTCCTTTTGGTCTGGGGGGCTTGCTTTACCCTCATTTGAATTCAGTTGGACCCCTAAACAACAATCCCTGCCCCAGGTGGTGCCCTTCTCATTGCCCACTCCATTTGGGGCATGCCTCCCGACTTTTGTGCCTGTCTCTCAGCTGTGCACAGCCTCCCCATTCATGTGCCCAGCCCCCGCATCATCGCCTACGGATTGCCTTTTCACATATTTATCAGTGCCCCTCAGGATGGAGTTGGAGGGGACTGGGGGGGGGGAGGATAATGCGCAGCACTGAGTAGTTTCCAGGCCACTTAATGAAGAGGAGCGTTTGTTGCCAGCAGAGCAGCGTTGCTCCCCCCTGGCAAGGCAACTGAGCGCGCTGCCCGCTTCTGCTAATTCCGATATCTTGCTTCTTGCTTCATTCTGTTCTTGCTTCATTCACTGTCGAGGACAATGGAGAACTTTATCCTGTGGGGTATATACGCTGATTTATGAATCTCTCCCCCCCCCCCAGCCTCCCCTAAAAAGGTCAACTGTTTCTGAAAGATGAAAAATGAATGCATGGTGTTCAGGGGTTGTGTCAGCAGTCAGAAAAAGCAGTTTATTAATGTAAGACGAGGCCTGGTCATAAAGATCCTACAGACAGGGGATTGGAAAGACAGTCAGTCTTTTAGAATACGAGAAGGCACGGGGGGGGGGTGAGGGAGGAATACAGTGGATGCTTTCAGAAGATTGATTCATGCTAGTGGTGTTAATGCGGGCAACAAATTGTTAGTTGCTCTTTGGTGACACCGTGAAATCGTTGTGTGTTTCTTGTGGTGATGCCGCCCCTCTCGCTTGTCTGCAGTCCTGCATACACTTTGCATAAAACAGGGTGATCCTCTTCTGCACGGTCTGAAATGGGCAATTTGTGCTGCCTTCGCTTGGATGCGGAGATAAAACGTGGAGTGGTTGTTCCACACTCTAAACAAAGGCATACAGTTTCCGTAAACAGTCTCTTAAATGTTTGTAAAGTGCTCTTCTCACAAAGCCAGGTTGTGCCTTCCCTCCCCTATCTTTCAGTGCCATTTGTTTAACCTTTTCAGGATGTTGAGCTATAAGGGGGGGCCCCATGACTTGAACTTCCAGTGTGACTGTCAAGAGAAGTCGATTGGTTTTATTGCAGCACGGAAGTGCTCTGTGTTGGTGAAGATTTTGTCGGATTTCCATGGGCCTCGGTAATGAAGCAACTTAGGCAATTTCGGGAAGAAGCTTTAAATCGAGAAAAACTTTAGAATAAATAAGAAGTCTGTAATCTGGGCTGCTGAATGTATTGGTTGCCATATAAATATGTAAAGCCTTGGCTACAAGAGGAGTGAGCAAGCATTGCGCCAGACTGGAAGCTGGAACTCTGAAACCCGGTGGGTGTGGCGTGTTTATCTTGACAAGAGGGGAGAATGCCAGAGGATGAATCAGTGATAGGAAGGCATCCTTCAGACAAGCAATACTGTCATTATAGTTTCTCAGCCATTATTTCACGAGCTGTTTAGTCATCATTAAGTAGGATACTATTATTTCTATAAAGAAAATTTGTGCATTTTTTTTTTGGTCTAGTTCTGTTTGCCACAGAATGGGCACAGGGGGAGGGGGAGAGAAATTCTGAGTAAGCAGCCCCCAAATGAGCAGGCCCTGACCTGGGTGGCCCAGGCTACACCAATCTTGTCAGGTCTCAGAAGCTGAGCAGGGTCGGCCCTGGTTAGTACTTGGATGGGAGACCTTCAAGGAAGCCCAGGGTTGCTATGCAGAGGCAGGTGATGGGAAATCACCTCTGAAAGTCTCTTGCCTTGACCTGGATGGTGCAGGCTAGATCTCATCAGATCTTGAAGCTAAGCAGGGTCATCCCTGGTTAGTATTTGGATGGGAGACCACCAAGGAAGTCCAAGGTTGCTGTGCAGAGGCAGGCAATGACAAACCACTTCTGAACATCTGTTGCTTTGAAAACCCAACAGAGTCGCCATAAGTCAGCTGCAACTTGACAGCAACAAAAAGGGGGAAAGCAAAATAAACTATTTATTTACTTACTTGCTTCATTTTTACCCTACCTTTTCCCCCAATGGGGACCCAAAGCAGCTTACGTCAATTTTCCTTCCTGCATTTTATCCTCACAACCACCCTGTGAGGTAGGTTAGGCTGAGAGTGTGTGGCGGGCCCAAGGCAACCCGGTGAGCTTCCATGGCGGAGTGAGGATTCAAACCTGTGTCCAAGAGGTTCCATGTACATTCACTTATCTACTCTAAACAAATTTCCTGGTATCTTAGAGGCTCTCTGCTCCTTCATGTCTCTTACGAACAGCCTGTTGATACTGTCTTTTGTTGATTATGGATGATAAGTTCACAAGGGGATCGTGTTATACTGGTGGTCACGGCCCTTTTTTTGAGCACCTTCCTCTGGAGAGTCACCAGAATTTGAGCCTGAACGTGTTGTGCCTTGATACACAAATGCTCAGGACAGTTACAAAGGTTTAGCAAGGAATCAGATGAACACAAAAGTTTAAAAAAGTAATCTAAGTAACAGCTACACCTGTTTTTCTCTTCTTTCAGTGTTTGAGCTGCTGCAGTTGTATGTATGTTTATACCTTACCTTCCTCTGTTCTGTTGGGAAAGATCTTTAGAAAGTTTGGGGGGAAACAGAATAAAGAGTATAGTTCACTAAGAAGTGATGATGAACTTGAGACCAGCAAGTTCATCTGCTGGTGGTGCCTTGTAATGTCCATAGAAAACATGGGGGGGGGGGCACACACACATGTGTTTTGCATGCCTCTGCACAAATTTCCCTTGGTACATTACAGACAAGCTTTGCAAGTTGAACATTTTTGCAGGTTCTTATGAATCCAGCTAGTAGTGGTTCTGGTTAGGTCCAAAAAAGATCTTTTTTATCTGTTGGAGAATAGTCTTTATTTTGGTTTATGAGGTTAAGAACCGATGTAAGAACAAAGGGTTTCTCAGTAATTTTTTTTTAAGGATGTGTTGAGTCTCTTCTTTTAGGTGTTGCAACAGTTGGAATCTTGAACATTTTAATGTGATTTCTTTCATGCTAAAATTAGAATGCTTAGTCCATATTTTCAGCCTCATGAGCTTTGGAGACAAGGTTGTTGTTTTCCTACTTCCTTTTGTTTTCCTTCCAACTTATCTCTCTCTCTGGGGTTTTTTAAAATGTGTGATGTGTTTTCATTCTGTAGACCAGAGATTCCCAAACTTAGTTGCGTTGACCTAAAAAAAACAAAAGAAAGGCCGAGTAAAATCACATTGGGAATAGTC